ATAAGTATTTGTTACCTACTCAGTTATATAATTAAATATTTTGTATAAGTATTTGTTACCTACTTATTTATGTAATTAAGTATTTTGTATAAGTATTTGTTACCTACTTATTTATATAATTAAGTATTTTGTATAAATATTTGTTACCTACTTATTTATATAATTAAGTATTTTGTATAAATATTTGTTACCTACTTATTTATATAATTAAGTATTTTGTATAAGTATTTGTTACCTACTTATTTATATAATTAAGTATTTTGTATAAGTATTTGTTACCTACTTATTTATATAATTAAGTATTTTGTATAAATATTTATGTTACCCACTTATTTATATAATTAAATATTTTGTACAAATATTTATATTACCTATTTATTTATACATTTAAGTATTTTGTACAAATATGTATGTTAAGTAGTCAGTTATATAATTAAATATTTTGTATAAATATGTATGTTAAGTAGTCAGTTATATAATTAAATATTTTGCACAGATATATATATACATGTAACCTCTTAATGCAGTTTTAAAGTGGATTATAATAGTTTTTAACTTTTTATGTATAAAGCATATATTCTTAACATATAACAGTTTCTGTTGAATTCAACTGACTTTACTTTCAGCCAGTGAAAAAGTATCTTATGTTATAAGATATTTCAGTTACCAGGGCTAAATGTTGAGACACCATAGATGGCGTAACATCTGAATTTTTCAACTTCTATTCATACAGTTTCAAAATTATTATCAACAATCACTTTATTAAACACACTATCTTATGAACTTCAAAGTTTAGCATGTTATTTTAGAAATTATATATGCATGTACTTCATTCAATTCTGAAATTTACACACTGTTAATGTCAAATCTTAACATTGTTGAACTATAAGAACTAGATCAGTTAGTCTAGCAAGTGTGCATTGAATTTGTATTTATCAGGATTATCATGTTTGAATTATTGCATAAAAATTAACAATGTTTAAGTACAGGTTTGGTTTAAAAAATTTTTTGTTGAGTATGTAATTATATAATTCTATGAGCTACACATATATGTGAAGTATTCAAGTAACATCAGCCTCTAACAAAGATTTTTGATGTGTTAACACTTTGAAAAATGGTTCAGCATGTTAATGCATAATACAATAAGGAAACAGGAAATGAACCTACAAAGACGTACAGTAGATGTATTTTTCAGTAACTGAATAATAACCACACACATACTCAGTAATAAAGTACCATAACTAAACGTGAACACACTTACATGAACATTTGCTTGGGTAGTTTATGTATTAAAACATTTGCTTAACTTCTTTATTAAATCTGAAGCATATTTTTTATCACTGGGATTAAGAGCAGATATTCCCCTCATAATTATGATTAAAACCAAATTATCTGAAATGCCTCTGATTGTGCATTATTAGTTAATCTGATAACAAATTATGAGTTACTTGATAATTTTATCTGCTTGTATTTCATCTACTTCACTTTATATTTAAAAGGCTTGTGAATAAATATGCATTATACTGATACTTTGGTTTATTTTATACTTTTTAAATAATTGTATAAATTATTTACACTAAAATTTAGAATATAGTTAAATTTTCAAAATTTATGTAATAAGTATGTTTGCATGCATTTCTAATGTGCCCACAACATTATTTCGTAATATCTTAAGCGACTTTCGGGTTTAGTATAATTTCTTTGAAAAGAAAAAGTTTGCTTATTAAATGCTGCCTGATTGTTCATGTGTATAGACACTAACAAGTTTGAATACTTTTACATGTCAACAAAATAAACAAATATATGCTTTTCCGTGTTGATAGATTTATTTTACTTTGTCCAGGCTTTCAACTATTTTACTGCAGCTGTCTTCAAGTACTGAAAATAGCTGCAGTGTAGCATTCAAAAGCTTTTACAAACTAAATTATTAATGTGGATAAACTTTTACTGATCTTGTTGACTTTGTTAGCCCACATTATGAGTGTCAAAGGATAACCTTTGGAATTCTTTTGTATTATGCTATATTGTGGACAAAAAGGGAAGGGTGGAAAAAATTTAAAAGTTGACAAATCTTGTATTATTGGATACATCTTCAGCCACAGATAAACACAGTGCAGTGTAGTAGAATTGAAATATTAAAAGCAGATTGTACGTATGTTGTTTATACACCATTTGAATATACATGAAAAATTGCCCAAATGTCAGTCCATCTATACTAAGCTTGGCATTGAAGATAGCAGATGCAATATGGTTGACAGATTATACAATATTCTCCTATGGTTTCACTGATGGGTTCTTAGAATTAGGGAAAGATCAATAGAATGGAGATCACACAAAGTTTGGTAGAGATGAATAGCACAGAGAACAAATAGGGTCCTTGGGGATGATGCAGGGGCTTAGACCTGAATGACAAAAACCTCTGTGTTACTCTGGAGTAGTTTAAAACCTCTAAAAAAAACATTTGTTGCAATTTATTCTTCTTACTTCAAATTACCGTGATGTACTTTCTTTCACTCTTACTTATTTAACTTACATGATAAATTGAGACAATTTATTATTTATTTGTATTTACTATATTGTTTGTTTTGTCTACACAGCATTTTCTGGAAAATTAATGTATAGGTGATGGGAAGTTTATGTAGCATTTCTTTATTCTCTTATTGCCATTAGAATTTGTTTTTAGTTTAGTATTTTCATAACGATTTTAGGCAATACCTGATGATGAAACTTGGTCCAAAACATTACCCTTTCAAAATAAATTTATAATATTTTATATCTGGTGTTGTTTAGTTGTGATAAATAACAGTTTTTCCAATTATACTGTATTATCTATGAACATTTTTTTTTTCAGTTTCATTTCATTTAAAATATTAACAAAATTATGTACAAATTAAAAATATATATGTATTTTCTAAAGTTTAAAGAAACTCGCAGGATTCCTCTCAGTCCACAAAAAGCAGTCTTTGATAGGTTAGATTTATTAATGCTTTGTCCTTTGTAGCCAAGTAACATTATTTATCTGTAAAGAGGAAGAAAGTAAAAAAAATCTTAGAAGGCTATGTTAAAGATAATAATATAAAGATGTTTTGAGAGTAGACGTTCATCCGGTGCTGCTAGTGTTCTTAGACATAAACTCCTTGAGCACGGGCTCAGTCACTGGGACCATTTTGTGCTTGTTATATTTTTCAATATAATATTCATGCTTTTAATAAGCATATGTTAATGA